AAAAAATGGGAGAGGGGTGTTGTTTTTTGTTGGGGGGGGGGGGGGGGGGGAGAAGAGAAGAGAAAAGATTATGGTTTTTCTAGGCTTAAGTGCACAAAATACTTAAAAAAGAGAAATTTCCCAGATAACCTAAGCTTCTCCTTGGTACTCTGCAAAGGTTGGCAACCTTTTGCCACTGCTGGCCATTGTTTATAACCCAATCTCTTGGGTGTGGTCTGTCAATCTCTGTAATCAATAGATGGTGTGGAGGAACTAGAGAGAGAAAAAAAAAAAGTCGGCATTAGGACCCTGGGAACAGTGTCTGCTGCCCTGGCTTAGGGTGCGCTTCCAGTTCTTCCCTGAGCTGTCACTGGTCAGACCCAATCTCTTCTTGGGCTGGATCCAGCCCATGGACCATAGGTTGCTGATTTCTGACCTGTGTTATAAAAAAAACACTGACACGACTAAATTATATTAAGAAAACATTAAAACAACTGAAAGATTTATATTTAGAATTAAAACATGCAGAGGAACTCCATACAGAGCCCCAGAAAAGGCAGATTCTACTAGAACTAACCAAAATTAGGAGGCAGATGGCTGAAATTATAATAGAAAAGACAGAAAAACAGATTAGAGCCTCTGAGGGATGAAGTACTGGATGGGGTTCTTTAAAAAGATAAAATAACAGGAGCAAACAGGGTGTTTTCCTAACAAGGGAAAAAAAATAAAAGCAGAATTCCAGGTCTTGCCCAAACCCTAATATCAGGAAGTAACCTTAACATCTAGTTGCTCAAGAAAACTAATTATTCTCCTTAAATAATGAGCAAAAGTCTGCATTAAATAAAAAATATTGCTCAATTTTTATTGAGGGAGGGGAATGCAGGAGGCTGCTATGGGTCTGATTCTGGCCCCAACATGGGCTCAGGGCCATCCAGACCCAGAGCAGCCACCTGCTCCCCACTCCACTTTGTGTGTGAATCTAAGACAAGGAGTTTTTCCCTCCCATACTGATTGGTGGGGAGGGGACATGGGACAGGTGCACCTCGTCTGTGTTTGAATAATGGTAAATTCTAAAGAAATTGCTGCCATTTTGTGCAAGGTCTATATAATCATATATTGGATTCTAAAGAACTGCCCAAAACCTTCTATGACACAGTGATCACCCTTTGTCATCAAGAAGGCAGAGAAGAAAATGAAAAATTACAGGTCAGTATCTCTGTTAAGTGTAAACTTCAAAATCTTATAAAAAACTTTAGCCAATAGATTAAATGCTGCTACTGGCAGGCTGATAAATTCAGACCAAGTTCACTGGCTCTGTCCTTTAAATCTTTGGACGGGAGAGCATAAGGACAAACTGGGCACACGCACAACCCAAACTAGATAGTCTAGCACAGGGGTTTTCAACCTTTAATAAGTGTACCCACAGTGGTTGGATACCGAGTGTGGGGGGGAGATGGCATGTGGCCTGATGTGGAGTGGAAGCAGTGGTAGGTGGTGGTGCCGGAGTGGAAGCAGTGGAGAAGAAGCAGCAGGGTGGTGGTGCCGGCGGCCACGTGCAAGCTTCCCCGTCACAACCCAAGGGTGTGATTTTTGTTTGTGTGCGCTTCGGCACTGCTGAATTATTTCCCGCCACTCGTAGCTTTCTTTGCAGGGTGCATTT